CGCCGCGGGTCTCGTCGCCGCGCACGTCTCGCCGAATGGCCACGAGCTGGTTCTCGGCTCGTTGGCGCAGGGCGTCGCGTTCAGCAGTGATTGAGTGGCTGGCCTGCATGAGTTCTTGCCCTGCGAGAGCTGATTTCTCTGGAAATATCCGTTCCTGTGGGCGTTCTTCGCGATGCCGGTAGTCTCTCGCGTTTGCGATCTCTCTGGCCAGGTTGCGCTTCCTCTGACTCTCCTGCATGGCCATGGCGTGGATCGCCATCTCTCCGAGCATGAGCTGTTCGGCCCGCTGCTGCACGCGCTGGCTCTCTTCTCGTCGCTGAGCGCGGCGTTGCTGTAATTCCCGCAATTGCTTTACATGCCTGTCTGCAGTGGCCATGTTGGCCTACGCGAGCTCGGCTCGGATGTAGTCGATCATGCTGCGGGCTTGCGCCTATATCTGATCGCTCGACAACATTTTGCGTTCGTAGTCGTACCTCATTGCTTCTCTGCGTTCCTCTAGGCATCTGTTCTCGTTATGTAAACACAGCATCTTGAAATCGTTCACCTCGCATGCCTCTATGATGCGCTGTATTGCTTCTTGCGTGGCGTACGCAGCTTGTTCTGCTAGCTGCTGTTCGCACTTCTCGCGACACAGGTGATATCTCCCCCCTGCGCCCCACAGCGCCGCGCGAATGCTTCTTCGTTGTTTTCCTCGGTGGCTGCCAATATCGAGTGCATTGTTCGTTGGGGATGCGGCGTCGTGGTCTCTTATCTTCTTGTCCGTCGCGATGGACATGTTCTCAAAGCGAGTGCTGCTCAGCTCCATATCCCCCCGACGCAGTTTAGCATTATTGTTGGGCTCGGCGTTGGTCCTCCTCAGGCTGGCGCCATGATCCTCTGCTGCGCGTAACTCTTGGCCGCTGAGCGATTCGGCGAGGCTGGTAGTAGGTGATTCGGGACCGCTTTGCTGGGATGGTGAGGATGACATTCGGCTTCCGAGGGCCCCCGGCTCCGCGCCCTGCACAGCGCGGCCGTTGTCCTCGCTGTGATCATTTCTTGTTCATATTGATCAGCCTCGCAACTAGTGCCGGCGTAGGCGGCGCACTCGCTTTTGGCATTCATCATAAAAAGTTTTTGAACCGGCGGATGCGCTTGGCATTCTCGCCCACTTTGACCGTGAGCTCCCTTTATCTTGTCGTTGATTCATTATGCTCCTTGGTGGTGACGCCCAACTGCGATCCGCATCCTTCGGTTATTTCATAATGGCGAGCATGCGTGTGCTGTTGGATGCTAATTAAAAGAGCTTGCTGTCGCAGACCTGCGCAGCTCTGGCTCCACGTATCTGGTCGGCTATCCTTCCGATTCTCTGCCGCTGCGTTCGCACCCATAGCTTCTCCATGTCGCCATCGTCGGTCGGGTGGGAAACCGAAGTTTTTATACATTCTCGCCTCCTCAAGCGTGGCTTCTTCCACATCGTCGACAACGGGCTGCTGCTTCTGCGTGAAGACGTACTCGGCGATATATAAGCTCTGGCACCGTTGACGTACGCAGGCGCGTTTCTTGATGCTGCTTCTCCTCCTTGATGTGGATATGTTGTGTTCTCTCCGCGGCCAGGTCTGAGCACAGGCCGCGGAGCCTGGGCGCGTGGGCCCTGCCCCTGACCACCTCTCCCCAGATCCCCTGGCGGAGAGCGGGCGCGTGGCCCCTGCTCCTGACCACCTCTTCCCAGCCCCGCCCGAGCGGGGCCCGAGGTGCGCGGCCCCTGCTCCCGACGACCTCTCCCTCGAGCCTCCACAGTGCTGCCGGTGTCCTCTCTGCGCCACGGCGCCGCGCTGGCACTGCGGTTTCCGGGCGCCGCGGCGGCCGTCGAGGCGGCTGGCGGCGGCCGCCACGGGGATCAGAAGGCGATCCTGTCCTGTTTGGGCAAGTGGGCGACGATGCCAGGACTCCTCCCGCCCTTTGGGGGGCTTTAGAATCCTAGCCGCGGTCGCGGCGGCCTCCTTCTTCTTCTTCTTCTTATTATTATTCTTATTATGTTTCTTATTATTATTCTGCTTATTATTAGTATCAGTATTACTAGTATTCTTATTATTCTTCTTAATATTCGTATTAATATTATTAGTCTTCTTATTAATAATTGTATTATGCCTAACATTATTATTGTTATTCGTCTTCTTGTTATGATTCTGATTATTAGTATTAATAATAGTAGTATTACTACTAGTATTATGATTAGTAGTAGTCTTATGATTATTAATATTCTTATTATTAGTATTATTGTTATTCTTCTTCTTCTTCATATTATATTTGATGTTATTCTTCTTAGTCTTCTTAATAGTATTATGTTTCCTCTTCTTAGTAATTTCACTATTATTAATATGCTTTGTAAAATGCTTATTCGTCTTATGGTTATTCTTATTATTCGTAGCATCAATATTCGTACTCATATGGTGCTTATTTTTTCTTATTATCAGTAGTATTCGTATTCTTCTTGATGGGTTATTCTTATTATTGGTAGCATTAGTAGTGTGATTATTGTGCATAGTAGTGATATCATTAGTAACAATATTATTTTGGGTATCAGTCGTATTATTATCAGTGTTGTTATTACTAGTACTAGTATTAACATTATTAGTAATATCAGTATGGTTGATGATACTAATGGGATTAGCAGTAGTATTGTTATTAGTGTTACTAATATGAGTATTAGTGTTACTATTAGTAATAATGTTTTTTGTTGATGGCCCGCGCGCGAGCCACGACCGATGGGCCCCTCCTCGGCCGAATGGCTTTCCTCCTCCTACTTTTCGTCGACATGCTGTCGGGCCAACTCTGGCCCTCAGCGTCATAGAGCGAGCACTCAGATGTGCCCGCGCCCCTGTTGGGCAGAGCGCGAGACTGCTGACCCCTGCCGTGTGTAAAACACGGAGGGCCTATGCTACCCTAGGGCCTAGGGTAAGCCCTACCGTAAGCCCTAGGGTATCTACCTAAACCCTGGGCAGCCTAAGGAACTTTACCATGAGGTCCCAGGGGTAGGCCCAGGGTAGGCCTAGGGGTGGACCCAAGGGGTCGGCCCAGGAAAGGCCCAGGGGTAAGCGCTAGGAGTTCCTAAGGTCTAAGGTAGGCCTAGGGGTAGGCCCTCAGGGTAGGCCCTCAGGGTAGACCCTAGGGGTCAGCCCAGGGGTAGGCCTAGCTAGGGGTAGGCTCTGGGGATATGCCTGTGGTAGGCCTAGGGTAGGCTTAGTGTTAAGCCTAGGAAGGGCTTAGGGATAGGCCCAAGGGGTAAGCCTAGGGGTAAGCACCAAGGGCCCTCGGGTAGGCCCTGGGGCCCCCCAGGACTGGTCGGGCCGCCCAGGAGTGGGTCGGGGCCACCTGGAGCGCCCTGGGGCGGGTCGGGGACCCCATCGGAGCGGGTCGGCGCGTGTCGAGCTCCCCCCGAGGCGAGGGAGGCAGCCGACCTCGCGGGCGGGTCGGGTCGGGCGGGCGGGATATTGAAGTATCAAATAAAAAATGCTGTATCGTCTGGCTGGCACGCGAGAGCCCCAACGGCCGGGCCCTCACGGGAGGGTCGGGTGGAGCAGGCGGGACAGTAAAAAGTCCGCGATATGTGTGGTGCGACCCATGTGGCGAGATCGCCGTTGTGCTATCTATGTTGTGCAATCGACGTTGTCCGATCTATATTAGGCCTAGGGTCGGCTTAGGGGTAGGCCCTAGGGGCAGGCCTAAGAGTGGGGCTAGGGGTAGGCCCTGGGGGAAGGGGGAAAAACCATAGGGGTAGGCCTAGGGTTGGCCTAGGGCTTGGCCCTAGGGTAGGCCCTAGGAGCAGACCTCAGGTGGGCCTAGGGGTAGGCCCTAAGGGCAGGCCTGGGGTAGACCAGGGTGGGCCCTGGAGGTAGGTCTGCCCTCCGGGCCCATATGCCCTGCCGCGCTCTGGAAGAATGAAAGGGATAGGAAAGCACGCAACCCTCCTCCATCACCTGGGCGACTCCAACATGGGACATACGGGGGGCCGTCCGGAAACGAAGCATTCCTGGGGCGCGTCGAGGAGTCCAGAGGATCCGGTTCCCGCTGAAGAAAAGAAACGGAATCCTTGGCGAGGGGTTTGGGCACGGGGGTTGCCCCTGCCTCAAAGTCCGAAGAGGGACGAACTCTCAGCCGCGGGGATGCTGGCGCGCGGAGTCCCACCCTCCCCCTGCGCAACCAGAAGAGGACAAGCGCGAGAGCCCAATTTGCAAATGTCATGCAGCATCACTCCTCCAGCTACACCGGAAACTGCACCAGTATCACTTGCACGCAGCTCTGGGACCAGAACCAGGTGCACTCTGGGAGCAGCTGCGCTGCTAGCACATGATGGTACCGAATGCATTCAAGCATTCAGTGCACTCTGGCTGGAGGGGCTCAGGGTGTTCCAGTGGCACTACGCGCGCGGAAGAAGGAAACAACTCCATGCGCCACCCAGGGTACTGGGTTCAACGGGTCAGCCCAGAGGAAGGAAAGACATCCAGCCAGGGGGGTGGGGGGCTCAGGCATGAGCCGCGGGGGGCGATCCTGCTCTCGGAGGAAGGAGGGACTGAAGGGCAGACCGAGGAAAAGGTCGCAGCAGTGGCCTTGGAGCCTTTCAGAGCCATGGCGCGAGCGCCGGACTGAAGGGGAGTGTGACGCCAGTCTGTCACGACCAGAGTCGTACAGTAGGAGCTCGATGACAAGAAACCTTCCACAACAAACCCACCACTGAGACCCCAGGACGTCCATTAAATTGCTGTGTTTGAGCGTCATGCTTTCCATAGCAAAACCATCGAAGCCCAAGAAATCCAGGGCACCCTGGAGGCAAGCAGGGTGTTTCCTGGCATGGGTTTCCACTGCATCCTGCCTCGCGAGGCAGGAAAAGAGTGCGAGGCGCTTGGCGTCTTGGCCCGCTCCGAGCAGAGCTCTCGAGCCGAGACGGAAGAGCGAGGAAGCGGGAGCAGGGCGGCAGACGGAGGATCCCCAGAGGCACCCTGGCGGCCGCAGGCGGTCCGGGACTCCTCCTTGCGCTGGAGCCTCCCCTGCAGCGCCCGGATCTCCTCCAGGGGGAGGGGCAGGGGGAGGGGGGTGAGCAATCAGAGGGCAGGGGTGGGAGGGAGGGAGATGTGGGACGGGGTGGGGGGAGGGGTGCGAGAAGGCCAGGGGGAGGAGGCGGAGGGCGAGGGCGAGGGCGAGGGGGAGGGGGCGGGCGAGAGGGAGAGCGAGGGCGAGCGTGAGCGCGAGGCCAGAGGCGGGATGCGGAAGAACACATGGCTCGCCGTGCACCCTGAACCTGCCGCGATCTTCTGCCCTACCTGCTGCGCGGCTCCTCCTGCTGGCTCTCCAGCAATGCTTGCTGCTGGTTCGACCTCCCCGACTCGCGGCTCTCGTTGTCGAGCAGCGCCTTGGAGAGCTTGTCCTTCTCGGCCTCGGCTCGACGGCGGGCGGGCTCACCACACACCCCGAAACCGTGAAGGAGATGCTGCAGGGCGGAACGAGCCTGGCGAAGGGCCCACCCCTGCGCAGCCGCATGCGTGTTTCGCAGGGCCCTCCGCTCACATGCTGCGCGCCGCGGAGGGGATGGGGCTCGGGGGGAGTGCGGATGGGGGCTGCGAAGCAGGCGCGCAGAGGCGTGCTGAGATTCCCTAGGTGTGGCACGATCGGGTTGAGAAGTGTGCCCACATGAGCCGGCGACCGCGTGTAAGGAGCCCACTGGGGCAGTAGGTGGAGCTCGCTATGGAGAACGATCCGTGCGAAAGGTGTGCTGAAATGGGCTGTAAGACATAACCGAAGACACCAGTGCGCGTAAGCAATACTGGCCACGTACGACACATTCGTTTCTGCAATTCTCGCCAGTTGCAATGCGAGGAATTCCCGACGAGCAACATGCGCATGGCGTGGAGTCTGACCGAAGTTGAAGGTCCATGTGGGGCACCACGACAACAACAACAGCAGCAGCAGCAGTAGCAGCAACATCAACATCAACAGCAACATCAGCATCAACAACCTATACCACAACAACAACAACAACAAAAACAATAATAAGAACAACAACAACAACAACAACAACAACAACAACAACAACAACAACAACAACAACAACAACAATCATTTTACCCGAACGCGTGGTGTTCTCCCCAGTGCCAGGGTTTTCATACGACACCAGGCAATACCCCCACTTCGTGGGGGGGCATTACAAGCTCTACCAAATATCCAAACGACTCTTCGCGACCACCCAAACCCAGCTTCCCGCCCTATGACGTTGGGACACTTCACTTCGTGGCGTGCGGACGACCGTGGCTACTACACTGGCGTGGGGTACACACCCACAGAACCCAATGGTTTTTGGAGATTTCGGCGTGCGCGCGCGAAGAAAAAACGAATGTGTCCCGCATGGTATTATTTGACAGGGATGATGGCCCTGGCAGGTGCGCAACCGTTGTCGCAGAAGTTTGAAAAAGTTGCTCGCAAAAGCCCGTTTGACAAAATTGTTTAAAAAGTGATGGTTTTCCTACGAATCCGCAAGAGCGCGCGGGATGAGATTTTGACAATTTTTTATTTAAAAAACCATTGGGTTTTTGATGTTTTTATGTTGAAATCGTTCCGAAACCTAAGGTTTTGGAAGGATTTCGTCTTGCACGCGCGAATGTCCACTTTAGCTTATTTTTTGCAAGGGATTCTTGAAATTGGATTACATTTGAACAAGAAATTTCATTTTATAGTGTTTTTTGCAAGGGAAAACGGGGGGGAACAAAACAACCGGATCCGGTACTAATCCACTTTTCTGAAGCTTTCGCGAAAAAATGATGAAAATGTAGCTGCGGCCTAGGTTTTGGAGGGGGGTCGTGTACCAGGGGCCCCAACAATAATTATTCTTTAGAAGTAATAATGTTCAACAACAACAACAACAACAACAACAACAACAACAACAACAACAACAATAACAATAACAACAATAACAATAACAACAACAACGACAACAACAACAATCATTTGAAGACAGTTCGCCCTTATCTGCTCGAGTGTCGAATAATGCGAATTTCCCAAACCCTCGATACCCGCCCTTTTCGTTTTCGATCGAACCCCTTTTGGGGGGTATACCTTTCTTCCCTGCAGGCCGGGCCCCGGCAAGCGGCGGGGCGGCCGCGGACCGTCGGTCTGGCCAGCGACAGTGCTGATCGGCGGGGCGGCCGCGGACCGACCCGACCCCAAGAGGGACGGACAGGGGACCGACCACGACGACGACGACGACGTCGACGACGACGGCAACGACGGCGACGGCAACGACGACGACGACGAGAAAGCGAGAGCGAGAGAGAACGACAGCAGAGCTACGAAGGACACGAAGTAGGCCGCGAAGGGCGACAGCGGAGACACGAAGGGAATGCGTATGGGGCCACGCAAAGCGCGAACGAGCGTGGGCCACGAAGTGCAGATAATGCGGGGCCACAGAAGGCAACTATGGGGCCACTGAAGGTAGCAACTGGGCCACGTAGGACAATGAGGGGGCCACAAACGGCGACACCGGGGCCACGAAGGGCATGCATATGGGGCCACAACGGGCGCGAACGAGCGGGGGCCACGAAGGGCATACGTATGTTGGGCCGCGGAGGGTACGGACGGGGCCACTGAGGGCAGCAACGGGGACACAAAGGGCAGCGAGGGGGCCACGAAGGGCGACAGCGGGGCCACGAAGGGCATGCATATGGGGCCACCACGGGCGCGAACGAGCGGGGGCCACGAAGGGCATACATATATGGGGCCACGAAACAAAGCGAGGGGGCCACGAAGGGCTGCAACGGGGCCACGAAGGGCAGCGAGGGGGCCACGAAGGGCTGCAACAGGGCCACGAAGGGCTGCAACGGGGTTACGAAGGGCAGCGAGGGGGCCACGAAGGGCTGCAACGGGGCCACGAAACAAAGCGAGGGGGGCCACGAAGGGCTGCAAAGGGGCCACGAAGGGCAACGAGGAAGCCACGAGGGTCTGCAACGGGACCACGAAACAAAGCGAGGGGGCCACGAAGGGCTGCAACGGGGCCACGAAACAAAGCGAGGGGGCCACGAAGGGCTGCAACGGGGCCACGAAGGGCAGCGAGATCCCGATTGCTAAGTAATCTGTGAAGGAGTCCTAAGCGTGAGCGCGACTCCTGGGTGCCTGGGTGTCGGGAGCGCGGCGCTGGAGTAAATTGCAAAAAAATCCAACGCAAGGGCGCTATTCTTCAGTAAATTGCAAGCAAGTCTCCAGCGAGAGCGCGACTCCAGAGCGCAGGATGAGCGATTCCTGAGTAGATCGTCAGGAAGTCCCAAGCGAGAGCGCGATTCTTCAATAAAATGCGAGGAAGTCTCGGGCGAGAGCGGGGGTCCTGGCTAAATTGTGAGGAAATCTCAAGCGGGAGCCGTTGTTGTTGTAACCCGGGGGCCAGGGGGCCAGTTTGAGCAGGAAGATTTTCATTGACAAAAAACAAAGTGCGAGCCCCGAGGGGGCACTTCAATTGAAGAAGATCCATGTGCACCGGTGGGGGGGGGATCAACAATAATTATTCTTTAAGAATGAGAGTTCAATAATCAAGTGTCCAATAACGCGTATTTCCCAAACCCTCGATACCCGCCCTCTTCGTCTTCGATCGAACCCCTTTTGGGGGGTATACCTTGCCGGGCCCCGGCAAGCGGCGGGGCGGCCGCGGACCGTCGGCCTGGCCAGCGGCGGCGCTGATCGGCGGGGCGGCCGCGGACCGTCGACCCGACCCCAAGAGGGACGGACAGGGGACCGACCACGACGACGACGACGTCGAAGACGACGGCGACGACGACGACGACGACGGCGACGACGAGAAAGCGAGAGCGAGAGAGAACGACAGCACGGCCACGAAGGGCACGAAGTAGGCCACGAAGGGCGACAGCGGGGACACGAAGGAATGCGTATGGGGCCACGAAAAGCGCGAACGACCGGGGGCCACGAAGTGCAGATAATGCGGGGCCACAGAAGGTAACTATGGGGCCACTGAGGGTAGCAACTGGGCCACGCAGGACAGTGAGGGGGACACAAATGGCGACAGCGGGGCCACGAAGGGCATGCACATGGGGCCACAACGGGCGCGACTCCTGGGTGCCTGGGTGTCGGGAGCGCGGCTCTTGGGCAAATTGCAAGAAATTCCAACGCAAGGCCATTCTTCAGTAAGTTGCAAGCAAGTCTCCAGCGAGAACGCGACTCCAGAGCGCCGGGAGAGCGATTCCTAAACAAGTGGCACGCGTGCCCTGGCTCTTGCACTAAGGAGCCGCGAGAGACAGGAGGCTTTCGCCTCCTTCCTCCCGGAGTTTATTTTTGTGGCCGCCGGGGGGGGGACGAACGACGAACGAACGACGACGACGAGCGAAAATAAAGAGGTCCGAGCTCTAGAACACAGCTGCGCAAGATAACGAAGGGTCCAGGGCGAGGGGGACCGGGGCCAGGGCCGGGGGGGGGGAGGCTGGGTCCAGGGCCAGGGCCAGCGGGGCAAGGGAGGCGGGGGGCCAGGGCCAGGGGAGGAGGCAGGGTCCAGGGCCAGGACCAGAGGGACGACGACAAACGAAAATAAAGGATCCAGGGCGATGGAAACTGGGGACAGGGCCGGCGGGGGGGAGGCTGGGTCCAGGCCCTGGGCCAGCGGGGCAAGGGGAGCTGGGGCCAGGACCAGGGGGGGAGGTTGGGTCCAGGGTCAGGACCGGACCAGGGACCCAGCGGGGCGAGGGGGGCTCCACGGGGCCAGGACCAGGTGGGGAGGTTGGGTCCAGGGCCAGAGTCGGACCAGGGACGACGAACGAAAACAAAGGGTCCAGCAAGGGGGGGAGTTGGGTCCAGGGCCAGGACCGGACCAGCTGCCAGGGACGACGACGAGCGAAAATAAAGGGTTGCCAGGGCGAGGTGGGCTGGGGCCAGGGCCGGGGGGGAGGCCGGGTCCAGGGCCAGGGTCAGCGGTGCGACGGGGGCTGGGGCCAGGGCCAGGTGGGGAGGTTGGGTCCAGGGCCGGGACCAGAGGGACAACGACAAACGAAAATAAAGGGTCCAGGGCGAGGGGGACTGGGGACAGGGCCGGCGGGGGGGAGGCTGGGTCCAGGCCTTGGGCCAGCGGGGCGAGGGGAGCTGGGGCCAGGACCACGGGGGAGGTTGGGTCCAGGGCCAGGACCGGACCAGGGACGACGACGAGCGAAAATAAAGGGTCCAGGGCGAGGGGAGCTGGGGCCAGGGCCGGGTGGGGGGGAGGCTGGGTCCAGGGCCAGGGCCAGCGGAGCGAGGGGGGCTGAGGCCAGGGCGGGGCGGGGACGTTGGGTCCAGGGTCGGGACCGGACCAGGGGCTGGGGACGACGACGAACTAACGAAAATAAAAAGGTCCGAGCTCTAGAGCACAGCTGTGCAAGATAATAAACTGGTCGGGGCGAAGGGGGCGGCGCG